AAAGCAAGTGGAACGGCATGTTTGTGGTGACACAGATGGACCGACACGCTGCTGCCCCCTGACTACGTTGCCTGACTAAGCAAAGATCGTCCGCACATACGCTGTGTGGCGGCGGCAGAGGAGGGGGCCTACATGCAACACGCACATTAATAACCAACACGCCGGTGCAGCTGTGTGCGATATTATTCAGCAATTCACGTCTTACCCTTGCTTGCCTCCTTGGGCTGCCACGTAGCCTTTGGTGCAATCTGATTCCCACCGCGCTGCTGACGTACGCGATATGTGCAAAGGAAGACCGTTCAACAATTATATTATATATATATATATATATAAACAATCCACACAGGCCTGGAGTTTCCTGACCGCTCAAGGTTACATATTATCATACCGACATACCGGCATGCGTTTTACGACAACATCAAGTCCAACAATTAGCGTACGGCAACCAACGAATCCAACAGAGGCTGAGAATGTAACCCTGGGTCCTGCCGCCGTCACGCCGCCGCTAGCTGCGATACAGTCTTACACCTTGCGAAAATGTGGTGTGGACCCCCAAGTACTTGAACACGGGAGCTAACAGAAGACATTATTTCCGCATGACGGCTCGCTGTTCTGAAAGCTGCTGCTGCTGCTGCTGCTGCTGCTACACGTCATGGTCATGCGTGTCTTGCCGTGTGCCGGAAACGCCGACGGGGCTTAGTGCAACCGTTGCAACCACCACAACTACCATAGCCACCACACCAAGTAGGACTGCACGGCGGCGAAGGGGCAGTCAACGCGCCGCCATCGCCGTGTCCCGTCCCCCGTCACTATATCCCCCATCACCACCACTGCTACCACCACCACCGCCGCCACCATCACCACCACCACCACCACCACCGCCGCAACATACCTTGCCGCCACCACCACCACCGCCGCCACCACACCAGCGCCGCTACATTAACCTGTACCTAGCCGCACCAACCCACCGTCACAGCTCTATAAGAGGCATAAAGCACCAGCCGCCGCACCAACTGCCGCAACAATCAACCGCCGCATTCATCCACTGTTTCAACTGCCGCAACAGTCAACTGCCGGGAGCCCACTTAACCACTCCGGCGGACCCGGCGGAGGGGGCCACCCTCCCACTCTTCCACGGGGAATGTGGGCCCAGCCAGCCGTACCGCCGTACCGCCGAATCGCCTCGTGAAAAAAAAATTCCTTCCCGGCCCCCCCCCCCGTGACCTTCAACTGTCGCTCTCCTCCGACACCGCCGCAGCGGCCGGCTCCGGCGCCTCGCCCCGGCCGGCCTCGGCCCCGGCGCCCGCGGCGGCTGCGGTTGCGGTTGCGGGGATGGGCCCCTGCCTGGCCGCTTGAGCCACCTCCGCGGCTAGCTCCCGGAGACCGCCAAAGATACCGCCACTGCCACCACTGCCACCACCACCACCCGCACCAAGGCCGAGGCCAGCGCCGGCGCGTGAGGCGGTCATCGAGGCGGCGGCGGCGGCAGCAGCGTCGCCCTCTGCGAGTATATTGCGGTTATGCGTTACGAGACATATGTGTGTCTGATCATTGTCTGATCCTCGCCTTGCCGTGCGGTGGTCAACCCACTGCGGGCGAGTACCGCTAGCTCACAGCAGGTGGCCTACTTACGCATATACGGCTTATTGGATTTTTTATGTGCCGGTGACAGGGCTATGTGAGCTGTATCGCCGCCATGACGGGCGGATTGATCGTGTTGTGTAAATCCTATCGCTTCAAAGCAGCAGCAGCGGTGTCGTGGGACCGGAAGGTGGTGCTGAGGAGATGAGGGCTCACCGGTCTTAGTCAGCT